TTTTTTTTTTTTTTTTTATGGCTGAATAATATTCCATTATATGTACCATATCTTCTTAATCCACTCATCCAGGCATGCACACTTAGGTCCATCAGTGGACAGTGTGTTTATCCACTTACCTGTTGGTGGACAGGTGAGCTGCTTCTAATTTTTGATTATTATGAATGAAGCTGCTTGAAACATTTGTGTGTACATCTTTGTGTAAACATATGTTTTTAATTCTCTTGGGTAAATACCTAGGATTAGAGTGGCTGGATTGTATGGTAAATGTGTTCTTTTTTTTCTATGCTAGAGAGAGAATGAGAGAGAGAGGGAGAGAACATGTGTGTGGGGGAGGGGCAGAGGAAGAGGGAGAGAGAATCTTAAGCAGGCACACTGCTCAGCGTAGAGCCCCATGTGGGGCTCGATCTCACGACCCTGAGATCATGACCTGAGCCAAAATCAGGAGTTGTTTGCTCAACCACCTGAGCCACCCATGCGCTCCAGTGTGTTTTTAACTTGACGAGAAACTGCCAAACTGTTTTCCAAAGTGGTTGTGCTATTTTACATTCCAACCATCAGTGTATGTGAGTGCCAGTTGTAAATGCTTGGTATTTTTAAAAAGATTTATTTGAGAGCATGGGTGAGAGCGCGGCAGGGGGTGAAGGAAGAGGGAAAGAATCTCAGGCAGACTTCGCTGAGTGTGGAGCCTGATGTGGGGCTCGATCTCACGACATGGAGATCATGACCCAAGCTGAAATCAATAGTCGGACACTTAACTGACTGAGCCACCCAGGTGCCCCAAATAATTTTTTTTAAAGATTTATTTATTTTTTGAGAGAGAGAGGGAGAGCACATGAGCAGGGGGAGGGGCAGAGGAAGAGGGAGAAAGAATCCCAAGCAGACTGCTTGGGATTGAAGGGCTCAGTCCCATGACCTTGAGATCACGACCTGAACTGAAGTCAAGAATCAGATGCTTAACTGACTGAGCCACCCAGGCAACCCTAAAAATCAATTTTTTTGAAATAGAATTTATATACAGAAAAATTGACCCATTTTAATTGATGAGATTAAACCCATTCAGTTTGATGACACTTGACATATACATATCTATCTATGCAACCATTACAGTCCATGTATGTTTCATTACCCTAGAAAGTTCCATCATTCCCATTTGTAGTTAATCCCCCAACACACTGGCTCTGAACCATCATGGATCTGTTTTCTTTGAGTACATATAGTTTGCCTTTTCTAGAATTTTATATGTACTTTTTTGTATCTGGCCTCTTTTGTTCAGCATGATGTTTTGAGATTTACCTATATAGTTACATGTGGTAATAGTCCTTTTTTTGCTGATTAGAATTCCATTGGGTGGATATAGTATAATTTTTCTTTTATTTGTTTATTGACAGTCATTTGAGTTGTTTCTGGTTTTGGGCTACTACAGATAAAACGGTAATGAACATTAATATGTATGTCTTTGTGTGGACGTGTTATTTCTCATGGTAACCACTTAGAGTAGAATTGATAGCTCCTGTAGTAAATTTATCTTTATTATTATAAGAAATTGGCAAAATATTTTTTGTGGTTTGTAAATCATGTTAAATTTCTGCCAGCAGTGTGTCAAAGTTCTAATTATTATAGATCCTTGTCAACATTTAGTATTTGTCAGCCGTTTAATTAGTATTTCCTACGGACTACTGTTGCCAAGGATCTTTTTGTGTGCTTATTGGCCATTTGTATATCTTTTTAAATGAAGTACCTGAACAAATCCATTGTCCACTTTTATATTGGGTTGTTTATCTTCTTATTGAGTCGTAAGAGTTCTCTATATTCTGAATACAAGTCCCTTTTCAGATATTTGTTTTATGAATATAATCTCTTGAGTCTGCAGCTTGGCTTTTCATTTTCTTAACAATGTTTTCAAAGAACAGAAGTTTTTATTTGATGAAGTTCAATTTAGTAAGTTTTTTCTCACTTGATGGTTTAGGTGTTTTGTGTCCTAATTAAGGACTGCCTATTTAGCCCAGAGTTGCAAAGCTTTTCTCCTGTGATTTCTTCTAGAAGTTTTTTAGTATTAGCTTCTAGATTAAGGTCTGTGATCGATTTTGATTTAATTTTTGTATGTGGTATGAGATAAGGGTGAAGGGTCATTTTTTTTCCAAATGGCTATCCAGTTGTTCTACCATCATTTCTTGAAAAGACTTTCCTTTGTTAAAAATCAGTTGACATATGTGGGTCTAAAATTCTGGACTCTAGGGGCACCTGGGTGGCTCAGTTGGTTAAGCGACTGCCTTCGGCTCAGGTCATGATCCTGGAGTCCCGGGATCGAGTCCCGCATCGGGCTCC